CACTCTTTGATCACATGGCTCCCAAGACTCTTTCTGTTTCTGGGTGATGTCACAAGGTTGTATTTCTCCACAGCCCCCATCCCAGGGAGACTCTCTCCTCTGTTCCACTGTCATATCTCAAGGCTGGGCCCCTGCCTGTCTTATACAGTATGGTGGCTTTGCCACCCAGTGCCTGGCCCGTGGAGAGTTTACCATCAATATCTCAGGGTATATGCCTGCTCAATGGCTCAGCCCTCGTCACACCTCTTTGTAGGTACAAAGCACCCCCATGCCTTAGCCCGTGTGTCCGTGAAGCAGTTTCCCACCTGTATGGCGTTTTCTGTTTGACTGTTGGACAGAGGGCTCTGAAGGTTCTGTTTCCGAAACCTATACTCATGGGCCTGGTGCCACTGACCTGCAGATCCAGGCAGACATATCTTCTGGGCTACGTAGCAAGTTCAAGACTAGCCCTGGCTGCACACCGTGTTCAAGGCAGCCCGTGTACAAGATTCTATCTCAAAAGGAGAAAAGGACAGTGATAGGGACATAGGTCAGCGAGAGTGCGTGTTTAGCATGTGTGGAGCCCTGGCTTCAACCCCAAGCTTCACGAGAAAGAAAAAGGAGCCGGAGAGATGGCTCAGTGGTTAAGAGTGACTGCTGCTCTTGCAGAGAACCCAGGCTCAGTTCCCAGCCCCCACACAGTGACTCACAACCTTCTGTAACTCCAGTTCCATGTGGTCCTCTTGTGTCTTCCTCTGACAGTACATGCTCATGCTACATTCCCGCAGGTGAACATTCACACATAAAATAAAACTAAATGCTATCTTTTGAAAATAACGGAAGAGAATCCGTTCTCTCACTCCCAGTCATATGCACAGCCACACCCGAGGTGACATTTGTCTTCTGAGCACCTGGAGACACGGATGTCCACCTCAAGTGCTGAAGGAGCACGGACCAAGCACATGCTAAGAAATGAGGACTGGCTCAGTCATTCATCTTGCTTCCCTTGAATGCCATAGGGAATCCCAGGCCCCTGGCAGCTGAGCAGACACTAGGGGATGACACTAGTGCCCCAATGGTGTCCTAACCCCCCCTTGGGAATGACCCAATGACCAGATTTCTACCCTGCCTTTTCATAGTTATTGGTTGATGTAGCCATGATGGTGTCAAAACGCTTCTTCCCCACCCCTTCATTCTTTCCTTTCTTTTCCTTTCAGCCACAAACTACTCAATTTGGTCTAGGTTTTGTGGTAACCACTCAGGATGTATCTCTGAGAGAAATCATTGCTCACGAGGAGGGACAGGCTATGGAATTCTCAAATGCAGAATGCTCATAAGGTGCCTTGTGCTTAGTAGGTGGGGGTGTCTTGTGTTTAGTAGGTGGGCTGTCCTGTGCTTAGTAGGTGGGCTGTCCTGTGTTTAGTAGGTGGGGTGTCCTGTGTTTAGTAGGTGGGGTGTCCTGTGTTTAGTAGGTGGGGTGTCTTGTGTTTAGTAGGTGGGCTGTCCTGTGTTTAGTAGGTGGGTTGTCTTGTGTTTAGTAGGTGGGGTGTTTTGTGTTTAGTAGGTGGGGTGTCTTGTGTTTAGTAGGTGGGGTGTCCCGTGCTTAGTAGGTGGGGTGCCTTGTGTTTATAGGTGGGTATCTTTTGATTAGTAGGTGGGATGTCCTGTGTTTAGTAGGTGGGGTGTTCTGTGTTTAGTAGGTGGGGTGTCTTGTGTTTAGTAGGTGGGTGTCTTGTGTTTAGTAGGTGGGGTGTCTTGTGTTTAGTAGGCGGGGTGTCCCGTGCTTAGTAGGTGGGGTGCCTTGTGTTTAGTAGGTGGGTGTCTTGTGATTAGTAGGTGGGATGTCCTGTGTTTAGTATGTGGGGTGTCTTGTGTTTAGTATGTGGGGTGTCTTGTGTTTAGTAGGTGGGGTGTCTTGTGTTTAGTAGGTGGGTGGCTCTTGTACAATCTCTTTTCTCAGCACAGTGACCAAATATCTGACAGAAGCAACCCAACAGACAGGGAGAAGTTATTTTGGCTCGTGGTTTCAGAGGTCTCTGTCTGTCGTGGCGGCGGGGAAGGCATGGCAGAGTCCCTGTCTGGAGGTGGCAATGTGTGGTCAACATTTGTTTGTGTGGACCAGGAAGCAGGAATCGAGGCTGGGACTGTTACTGTGGTTTGAGTCTGAGCCTGGTGTTTCCAGGTTCTTGGCAGCAGAGATTAAAGAGGGTGAGGGGGATGTCAGCATTGACAGCGGGGTACAGCTCGGAGAGTGCTGAAGGGTATCCACTATTGTTAGGGACTTCCTTTGTGGGGTTTGTAAAAGGACGGGCTGCTTACTACAGCCTGGGTGGGCTCCGTTTTCAGATTAGATCACATATTCATTTTTCCTACTCTGCATACCCCTTCCCACATTTTAGTCATGTGCGTGTCCAGTTATGCACAGGCATGAGATGCTAAATCTCAGATTCTCCATAAAAGGTCACTAGAGGACATTGCTCTGCCCTATTGCTTATGCACCCACAACCAGCTCAGACCGGATTGGGATGGTTTCTTCATTCTAGTCTTCATACCTGGGTACACTAGGAACACACTTGAAAAGGAACTCTAATTTAATTGTTACCAGGACCAGGGGGAAATTATACTATTTTTTATGTCACCTGATGCAGGTGGTGGGGGATGGAAATGGGCTTTGAGCTCTTGCTAGGTGTGTTGTTTGGAGAAGGGAGGAAAGACATTACTGCCAAGGTTACACTCAGGTAAAGACATTGTCACTGCAAGGGTCACAGGCATGTAAAGACATTGTCACTGCAAGGGTCACACGCAGGTAAAGACATTGTCACTGCAAGGGTCACACGCAGGTAAAGATGTTATCACTACAAGGGGGTTATGCATAACCCCCTACTATCTCCTATGCGGTGGGCTTCAGAACCAGGCGCTGGCATGTCTTCAAGGGCCCTCTCCTAGTGACCTATGTCTGCTTGCCAGGCTATCACCCCTACAAGTTTCACAGCCTTCAAAATAGCGCAAGCCAGACACCAAGTTATCAAATCGCAAGCGTAATTGCTTCTGACACTATTCTGTGACAATAAATCTTTCCGCCAAAGCCATCCAAG